TGATGGACGAGCTTACCCTGAAGGGTATAACACAATTTTATGCTTTTGTTGAAGAAAGACAAAAAGTCCACTGCCTGAACACCCTTTTCTCCAAGGTTGTGATAGTAAGCTTTTAATTAAAAATACTTTGCGTTGTTCAAAATGTTCTCTTCTGATCTGTTGTTTTATCGTTTTGAATTGGTTTCAGCTTCAAATCAACCAGTCAATTATTTTTTGTAATTCTGTGAATCGTGTTGAGTTGCTAGCTAAAAAAATAACAGAACTTGGGTATTCTTGTTTTTACATTCATGCAAAGATGCTGCAAGATCACCGCAACAGAGTTTTCCACGATTTTCGTAATGGGGCATGCCGAAATCTTGTGTGCACTGGTATGTCTACCTTTGTGCTTTGTTTGCCTTGACTCGAAAGTTTATGTAGAGGCTGCTGAATAACATCAATTATTTACTTTTGAGTTATTTAGAATATAGTTGAACTGTTTTTTATGGTTTAATTAGCTAGCACATTTGGCTTCACTTCACCTTTATTTCCAATTCCTTTCTGTTCACTTTTTCTTTGGGGTGGTGAGGTATTTAAGGATAAGAATTTTTTTTGGCACATCAAACATTTTGTATGGGTACCTAGGTTTTTCCTGTAATATATTTAAATCTGGATGTATCTCTAAGTGCTTGATAAATTAAAGAGAATTGTTCTCAGATTTGTGTAACAAGGTACTGAAGTTTCCTGCTCTGCTTGAGTGCTTGGCATTTTATATGAAAAAACTTAATATAGTAAATAATTCATTCTGCATAGAAACATTTGGCATAGTTGGGTTTGACACTTGTACTGTAGTGCTTATCTGCAGATTCGTCCGAGTTTTCAAGCCCTAGTTTTTTCCACCTTATTGGCCATTTTGTTTTATTGATTCAATTTATTGTATACTGGTTTGCATTTTGTACTTATGAAATTTTTTTCTTCCTTGATCTGCTGTGTCTGTGTTTCTGGACTATTTTACAATTGTGCATGAATCCTTATTTTTGGATTTGTCTTGCTGTTATACACACTTTAATCAGCTTGTTGCTATTGTCTTTTGATCGTTTTGTGGTTTGGAATGACATGCAGATTTATTTACTAGGGGAATAGACATTCAGGCTGTCAATGTTGTTATCAATTTCGACTTCCCAAAGAATGCTGAAACCTACCTCCATAGGGTATGTAGTAAGTAGATCTTGGGTATTTTGCTCTTGTTATATTTCCAATATGGTTATTGACATTGTTGTTTTGATCCATTTGTGTACAGGTTGGTCGATCTGGGAGGTTTGGCCATCTTGGTTTAGCAGTGAATTTAATCACTTATGAAGACCGTTTCAACTTGTATGTATCTTGTCCTTTGAGTTCATATTCTTCTACATGCTTCGCATTTGATATATTTTTTGTTCTAATATCTTTGGTTATCTACAACAGATATAAGATTGAGCAGGAACTTGGAACTGAAATAAAGCAGATTCCTCCACAAATAGATCAAGCTATCTACTGTCGTTAAGTAGCTGAGTTTAACCGATGCTGTACTCTATGGGTGAATAGATGCTGGTCATGGTAAGTGTATTTCCAATCCTGTATAAGTGCACCGTCCCTAGGATCTCTTTGCATTTATTTGTTGTTTCCATTTTAATGATGTTTTGGTAGTTGTGTCTTGTCCCCTTTTGAAATAAATGCGACATTTCCTTAAGATTTGATCTTATGATGAATATCTTTTCAAAGATGATGTGATGTGTTGATAAGGAAAAATACTGTTGTTTAGATGAAAGGAATGGCATCTACTTCAGGCTAGCATCTTTGATGTTTAACTAGGTTTTTGGCAAGGGATTGTTTTCTTCCATATATCTTAGACCTGCTTTGCATTTCATTCTCAAATTTTGATCTATATTTTGAGATCCTTGGACTGCTTAAACTGCCTTGTGTTTATCCTCGTAATACAGCCTACAGACATGAAATTGAGTATTTAGTTTTGCTGATTATTAATGTTTAGTGTCTAAGACTCTCAAGACACAAGAATTTTGTAGTTGGATGAATACTTATGTGTTCTTTCACAGGTATGTGTATCAAGATCGGATTTTCCCAGCTCAGCATCAGAATTGTGATTACTGTAGACTTTTGGGTGATGTCTAGTTCTGTCGTCAAGTGTGTCTTGTGCAGATCTTCATGGAATGTTCCCTACTACTAGATAGTATTGTGTAGGAAGGAGATATTTTCAGGAATAATTTATTAAGATATTTAGTAAGAATGTTGCTCTGGGGTTAGATGCCTGCATTAACTGGCTGGAAGGATGTTCCATCCCTCTGTCTGACTTCCATCAACAACCTATTAGCTTGTTTCCTATCGTTTGTTGCATTTGCCGACTGAGGTAGTTGAATTTCTGGATGTTGTTCCTTGTTTGTTGTGGCAAAAAAATAAAGCACTCCATGTTCATCTGGAGTGGAGTTTTTTAGATTGTGTATAGTATTACAACCATCTTTATTTCCGTATTTCACTTCTACAAGCTCCTGGCCTGGGGGCTTTTTGGTAAAACATGGTTTGTTGACTCTTAATTCACAGGGAATTCAAATTTTTGCCTGTTTGAAGGCAGCCAGAGGGCTAGTCATTGCCATTGCTGCAGGTTGACTGTTGTCCTTAGTTCGAGTTACATGAGAACAAAGGCAGGTCTTCTTGACAAAACATCCTGGTAAGACTGAAAAAGATACTTTGTAGCTCACTTTGTTGACCAAGTTATTTTTCACCGATAAGGAAAAGGAAAAAAAAAAAGAAAAAAAAAGGACCTAGTTAAATTTTAATTGAAGCATGAGCAGTAGCAGGAGATCTTAAACGACTTCTACAAAGTATTTCATTTATATGCTGCATTTGCTACATGAATTGTAAAGCTAAACTTACATAGCTGAAAATAAGGTTAATTATGAATCATATTCCTTACCTTGAAGTTAAAAACATATATGCGTGTAAGTGGTCATATTCGGACTTGATTATACTCGAATAACATACAAACCCATCGTTTATTTATCTATTTATTTATTTGTTACTAATGCATCAAAAAATCTTAAATTTTTTGGAAAAGAGACCAAAATTGTCCCATTATCACTCTCTTTGGGTTGACTACGTGAGAAAATAAGGTGGTCAGAGTGGTGATAGAACTCTTTGCCTGAATAAGCTTAAACAGTGAAGACTGAAGAGCCGTAAAATTCATGACTGTTGCTTATAATTTACGCATTTTTAGCCTTAACCTTGGTTTGCAAGCAATAGCCCAGGGTGACCAAAAAAATTAACAGTACGTACAGTTACATTTATGGGTACTTGTGTGTTTTCTGCCCTAAAATTGACCACATTTATTATGTTGTGATCATTGAATAATGCTATCATCTTTGATTCTTTGAACATACATACATGTTCAGAATTGATTCCTCAGTGACTAAACCATCTATACTAGTGAAATTGATATGTACAAATTTTACGAGTAGATTTATAAAGCATTTGAAATCTCGCGTTGTTTGATCTTAATGAATGAAAAAATGTAAATGTTTCTTTTTTAACTTGTTTATATGAACCCTAGCGACACGAATTCCGTAGCTACATCTGCTGTATTTTTTCTATAATCTTTCTTCATTAGGGTGGTAATGATGATTTCAAGTTTATGGAGTTGTTTGATTTGTAGAGTAACTGTTCTCAGTTTTAGTTTTGCAATTTGGTCTTACAATTCTCTACTCTATAGTTCAACACTTCAACTCTTATACAAATTTACCAATTTTAATTTTCACACTATTCCAAACCTTTATCACTCAATTCCAGTGATTCCACGCCTTTTCTAAACTCAACCACAGGGTCCACATTTTTATGGGTTCTGACCTTATGGGTAGTAATTTCTTTTATAAGATTAGTATTTCTTTCTCTACAGAAAGCCAACCCTAAATGCCATAGACTAACGACAAAGTTGTTTTGGTTATTTGGGCATTTTAATTTTCAATCGGACACATTTTCTACTTTTGGAATTTCACAAATAAATTATTTTATTTTTTATAAAAATAGATGTTCTTTAGCTTATTGTGATACTTTTGGAGTATCATACACACCATAATCTAGATAATGGTTAATTATATAATATGATTATATGTTTTAAACAAGTGATGTTAAAAACTAACTTGATTTGAAACAACTAAGAGTGAGTTAGTCTCTTATTTGATCAACTCATTGTAATTTGTAAAAAGTCAACAATTTCGGGCAATAGTGTGTGTAACCGTGTAACACCAGTATAGTGCAAACAACTCATGCATGAAACACCATTAACAATAGTATGGTAAGTAATGGGTGAGCTGGGTGTAATGACCCAATGAAGGATTCATAACGCCTATATATGAGTATATGACCCACGAATGCTAAGTTCTTGATTGGAACCACATCTTAACAACCAATATAATATAGTTTCAAATAGCCACATTATTGAGCCAAACTCATTATCAAGACTTTTATAAACCTATTGATAGGCCTGTTATTGTTCTAAACTAGCTAATATGTTCCTACTGGACACTCCCACATTCACTTCAATTTAGGGAAAAAAATTTCCCGAAATTAATCTAGAAGCATTAATTATAGTTGTCAATTTTGGACAAAGTATCGAGTTGTATAGGCCTAGAAAGGAAAAAGGACGAGATGCTTCATTTGGATCCCATGAGACCTTGGGAGACGATTTTGGTGGTTTGAACCGTCCACTTTGCTCTGTCTGTCAATTTAAATGGATATGTACATGTGACATGTCCTTATTTATTAACTCAAAGCCACTACGGGCCTCTATATGAATATCAGTGTATATAAGTTTTCAAATAACATTACATGAACCCAAGATGCATTTCCTATCACTGCATGAGTTTTTTATTCTAGCTCATGAAATATACGAAAATGACTTGATTTGTATTACAGCCTTTAAAACCGACCTTTATAGAACATTTTTGAACTTGGTAAGGTTTGGCATTGATGTGCTTTACGAGGTTCCATAAGGATCTCAAAAGGCCTACTTGGTGTCAAAATCATTTCATCCATGCCTTACCCTTTGTTATCACGTTTTAAGATGTCTTGCCTTTGGCTTTGTTTTGTCTTGTGTTGCTTGGCGTTGTTTTGTCTTGTGTTGCTTGGCCATGCCTTGCCTTGGTCCTAAAGTGACACAATATGCTACCTTCAATTGCCAAAATTTGTGTTTTTAAGGATGGGGTGTTTATTTATGCCTTTTGCTCATGCCTCGTGCTCCTTGCCCTTTGCCTAGGCCATGTCATGCCATCACCACATCGCGTCCCTCAAATTGCATTGATTTCTGATAACCCTTATTCTATTTTTTTCTTGTCATTTAATTTCATCAAAAAATTCACTGTTCACAATTTGTATGATGTAATGTAATATTAAAAAAGCAAGTAATATCATTTAATGCAAGAGTTTTTCTCTCTCTGTTTTTTTTTCGTTGTTGCAGAAAACAGAGCACAGTTTTTTTTCAGCTTGAAACTCGCTGATTGTACAATTCTCTTTCTCTCTCCTCTGATACACAAACAATTATTTCTTCATTTTCCCAAGATAGATATTGCCCAATTCCACTTTTTCGCATTTCTTGGTTTATATATACATTTAATTCACCTCTTTGGTAAAATTTATTATGCCTGTCCATTTCTTTTTTCTTCCTTCTGTCAAAGTTCTAATCTTTTGAATGAAAATCTTCGAAATCAAATTCTGGGTTTTGTTAATTTGATGATTTTATTTCTGGGTTTTTGTTCATTTGATAATTTAGTTCTTGGGTTACATCAAACTCTGTTTTTTTTTTTTTTTTTTACTCAAAAGTAAGGTAGAATTAAGAGAGAGAAAATGGGAAGATCTCCATGTTGTGAAAAGGAGGGGTTGAAGAAAGGACCATGGACAAGTGAAGAAGATGAACTACTTGTTAAATATATCAACAAACATGGTCATGGAAATTGGCGATCTCTTCCTAAAAATGCAGGTTTTATTTTCAATTCCTCTGTTTTTCCCCTGTTTTTGATGTTGGATTTTTGGAGGGTTTTAGCATCGATTTTTTGAATGAATTATGCCGCCCAAAGTAGAGTATTGGCTTATCATAGCTAGAATAGATTGTTTATGATGTAAGAATAATATATTTTGGAGTATTAGATCTCCAAAACCCATAATTTTGTTTTTTCTTCTTAAAACTCTTTTTTGGGTGTTTTTTTTTGGTGGAAATAAATTTGAGCAAATTAGCAAAAATTATTCATGAATCATAAGTGCACCTACTAGAGTGTGTAAGAGGCTTGAGGTCTACTCAGTGTTACGAATATAAACTAGAGTGTCTGGTAATGCACTTTATATATCCTGATTTTTAAATAAATTGACATTAAATTGTTGGTAGTAGTTGAAGTTACGAGGAAGTTATCACTCCTTATTTGATTTGTTTTTGGACAAAATTAAGATTTTATTTATTTATTTCTAAGATAGTGCATAGATTTTTATCTTGAGGATTAAAGATTTGAAGAGCTGTGATTTGAAGATTTTTATTTTTTTTTTATTAATTGCAATTTAGTGGTATTATTTAATTTTAGAAATGCTTGAATTGCTTCACTTATCTTTGCTTGAGAATTGGATAGTTCTAAATTAGAGAAGATAATGCCAAGTAACCCCTACTCTTTAATAGTCAAATTCCCAAAAAAACCTTGTATTAGTAAATTTAATACTCAAAATACCCCCCAAGAGTGGACTCTTTGAAGTTAAGTTATGCCTATGCTTGTTTTTGGTCATCAACTTAGCAATTTGTGTAGTTCAAATCATGGTCCACATTTTAAGTTGTCACAATTAAAATGTTAAAAGAGAAATTGGTTAGACAAAGTGTTGAGTTGTACTATATATTTTAAAAATTTTACCATATGGCAAAATGATACTATATATTTGAGGATTGCATGACATAATTGATCTTTTGATGATAACTTTTATTGCTGCTGAATTAATAGCAAAATGTTAAACAAGTTCTTGAGAATGATTGATGTACTTGCAGGAAAATTGATGATAAACTTCCATTAGATTGTTACTTGTACAAGTTGTACAATAGAGACCTGTCCATGATTACGCGGTTGTGGAGATGAGCAAAGGCTTTTTTTTATCCAGTGCCATTTATTTTTTTTGTACTTTCGGTTTACCATTGCCTTGAAAAAGACGATAGGTCAAACTCGAGACATGCATGTTTCCATTGCATTTCGCGTAATGATCTGACTTCAGATTTAATCCGATCTGTTGATGTTCTTGGTTGTCATAGTGTGTTTACAGTAGCAAAAGATGAAATGAACAACACATTATTGTGTCAACACATTGTTGTGTTGCTTGTTAACATAATAACATGCTTTGCAACCATCCATCACTAAATTTCGCGTTTATCTTTTTCCCTTTGAAGAGAAAATTTCATGTTTGTTGTAGAACAAGTCTTGTCATATATGATAGGTAATTGATTTATGACCTGGTTTATATGGAACTTAAAATTGATTAGTATTTCGACTATTTCCTTCTTTGCAGGTCTCCTTCGATGTGGAAAGAGCTGTCGACTTCGTTGGACAAATTATCTTAGGCCAGACATAAAACGCGGTCCATTCACTCCTGAAGAAGAGAAGCTTGTTATACAGCTGCATGCCATTCTAGGCAACAGGTATTGTTTACTGAGTAGCTATAGCACAATAAAAGAACAAACCAATGTAAGCAGTGCTCATAAGATGAAAATTTGTGTTTCAGGTGGGCTGCAATCGCTGCACAACTACCAGGAAGAACAGACAATGAGATCAAAAACTTATGGAACACCCACTTGAGAAAACGGTTAATTTGTATGGGCCTCGATCCTCAAACCCATGAACCAGCTTCTACACCTGCTGGACCATCTACAAAACCCCCAGCATCGCCTTCTACACGTCACATGACCCAATGGGAGAGCGCTAGGCTTGAAGCTGAGGCTCGGCTTTCAAGTGAGTCTTTAGTGTGCCACCCGCATTCTGCTAGTTTCCTTGATTCTGACTACTTCCTTCGTCTTTGGAACTCTGAAGTTGGAGAGTCGTTTCGAAACTTTGAAATGAAGGAAAAGATTGCATGTCAAAGCCCAATCTCCCAAGCATCCACTTCTACCACAAAATGTGCCTCTACTTCAGGTCTGACAGTAGATAACCGAGATGAAGAGATCAAGTGTAAGAACTTTATCAAAACCGAAGTTCTTGATGTTAATACAAGATCAGATTCTTCGAGCTCCAATGAGTTAGAGGATTCATCTGAGTCTGCATTGCAGCTGCTGTTGGATTTTCCAGGATACAATGACATGAGCTTCTTGGAAGATCCTGTCGACAACTACTCTGATAACGCGTGTTTTTTTAAGTTTTACTGAGGATATCTGGGGTTTTTTCGGTCACATTTAGCAGTATATCTCTTAGTTAACGGCTATAGTTCTAGCTTTAAGTTTACCTGCTCTCCTAATCTAGTCATGTAAAATGTTCTGTTTCTTCTGATAGGATGCTTCCCTGAGCTGCAAAATAGAGGTTCATGTTCCTAGATCTGTTTTCTGATGTCGTGCTGCGTTTTGTAATTGTAATATTGTCTGTAGACTCTTTAAATGGCTTGATTGAAATATATGTATATGGTTTATTGCAAATGTTACGACTGAAAACAATGAACTTGAACTTCATCGACAAATATTTAAGCCTAAATTTGGCGAAAATGAGACATACTTGATCATCTGATTCTGAATTCAAGGCCAAAACCCAACCAAAAACTTATATCCAACCCGAATTTCCTATTGGCAAATAGAACAACATCAATTACAGCTATTACACTGATCTCTCACACAACTTGTTTACTCGCAAAAACAATCTTAACTAACGCAATCTAGTGCACTGCTACACTTTGAAACTGCATTAACCTGAGGTAACTATCTCTGCTGTGGATGATCTAAAATGAGATACAACCAAGGATCTTCTTTGGGGTATATCCTGTGGCTCGGTATTTAGCAGCCTTCTCCTGGATCATGAGAAGATCCTCGCCTTTTCTTGCTTGAACTATTGCCCTCTTCTCTTCTGTTTGCTTGTGGACTAGAGCTACCATGTTCTTCATCTTTTCTGCATACTCAGCCTTCTTCTTTTCAAGCTCTTCCTGCTCATTAAACACCCAACTCATTAAATTTAACCATGATCAATATATACTGCTGCACATATATGTATTACATGAATATCATGATTGAGGTACCTCGATATACTTCAGCTTAGCGTCGATGGATGCTTTCTTTCTGTTCTCCCAAGCGTTGAGAGCAGAAATCTGCTTCTCGGCCCTGTCCAGTACAGTAGGCAACGAACATCAACATTCAGTTTTCGAAAACTCCTTCTAGACACTATTAGATCAATAGTTTTGTCACTTATGTGCTGAGTTTCGATCATAGTAATGAACATTTACGACTTCATAGGATAATAATTGTAGGCTTTTAAAGTTATAGACACTAATCAAAGACACAATTCTAATGTTATCAAGCCACTAATCAGCAAGCAAATAAACTTTCTGCCTTGAAATATTTAACACCCTACCTCTAAATCTTTCTATACAAAATATTCTTGATGATATAATCTAAAATCCAATTTTTGTTACATTTGATCTCAGACAAGTAAGCATGCTAGAAGGTATGTCACAACATCATGCATAGTTGTTTTTTTAAGTTAATAGAGATTCACAATAGACGAGATTCGACCATATGTCTTGGGCATAACCCACGTACGTCATGTAACATGACATGACGATGAAAAAAAAACTTACTTGTAGACTGCTTTAGATTGCTCACTTTCTTCCCACGCCTTAATAAAAGACAACCTCTTTTCCTGCTCAACATGTGCTAATGCAATATCTGCAACAACCATAGTACAAAAAAGTGTAAATACAACATTTATTCTAACTATATCAACTCTGACAAATATCATATTTAATGAAGCTTTTTTTGTTTTGTTTTTTTTTTTTAATTTTTTATTATGTCATATTTTGTCTTCCAGTTAAATAAATATGAGTGAACTGAAAATTATGTGCCACTATAAACTCACCCCTGTCAGATGATTGTCTACTTCTTTGAGATTCAGCCTCTTCAGCTTCTGTTAATTGACAACATATGTATTAGACATTTTATTCGTAATTAGAATTTCAAGAAAATGTTTGTTTCATGGAGAAAAAACAAAAAAATTCAAAAAAATACCCCTCAAGTATTTTACTTGATAACAAATGATCATATGCTCATAACATAATATTTAATATCTTATGTTATGAGCACGTGTGCAAGAGAATGTGAGAGGGTGTAAAATTACACTTGAGTATATAATGGACATAGAAAGAAAGAGAGAATGTAATACTTTCAACTACAGGAACGATAGTCTCAGGAATTGCCGGGGCCGAGGGAGGAGTAGTAGCCTTTGACTTCTCCTCGGTGATGCCGGATGATGATGAAGAAGATGGTGTAGCAACAGCCGTTGGTTTGCTCTCCACAATTTTCTTAATCTCCTTTTCTGCCATTTTGTTTTCTTGTGCTATGTTTTTATTTGTTCTAAACCAAGTTAAATTGAGGTCTATTTATGATCTATCTTTCTTCTAATGCCTGCCGGTTTTTGGTATGAACTTGTAGTATAAACTATTTTTAAATCTTAATCAAAATTCAAAATGACAGAGATTAAGGAGACATTATCTCATATTTATAAGAAAAATGTATGCTTTCATACTTTTATTAGTGGGCTACCATGTTACCAACTTATAAACCTTTTTTTTTTTTTTTTCTTTGTAAGTGAATTATTCAAAGAATTTTTAAATGATTAATGTTTAGGTACGCAAAAACGTCTTAATTAATTTTATTGCAAACTATAAATGTTTAATAAATAGAACTACTTTATTCAAATAAATAAATAAATAAATAGAACTACTAGTGCATTATTTTTTCCTAATAGTGGACCTCAATAAAAAGAGGGGAAAATAATAATAATAATAATAATAATAATAATAATAATATTAAAAAAAAAACAAAAAAGAAAAAGAAAAAAGAATGAGAATATGATACTTGCATTGTATTAAACACCACGATTTAGCATAGTGCTCAAGCTCAACTTTCATTCATATAAAATTTGTTTTTCCAATGTTACTCAATAATCAATGAGGAAGACTGAATTAGAAATATAATTGCCAGCTAAAATTGGAAGGACAACAACTTTGAATCAAAGGAGCTAGACGTGTTCAAAATACATGAAAGCCACCACCTCATTACTAAGTTGCTCTCACAACTAACTCCTAATTGAGTACGTAGTACTTTGTTTTACTTTTGAATTTTGTCTTCTTATAATTTATCATTTAACTTTACATAACCAAATTTCCCAGCATTTAGACCCATATTTAGTTCACATTATCTTAATTCTCCTGGCTAATGTGATTTGATTTATTCTAATGTAAACTTTTTTCGAGAAGTGAATTGAAATTTTCAAATTATAATACAGCTATTTTTAGCACAAGTAAAAGTCAGAACCACAAGTCCAGTTCACTGTCCATCTTCCTTCTCCGCTTTGTAACTTGAAATCCAAAATGAAAACATAAACATAAACACCGGAAAAATGGCAGCAGATGCATCCGATTGAAGAAAAAAGACAGTAACATCAACCGCGGCAATCACTGACTTAGCTCACTCAACGGCATTCTCTCCCACCTCCTCATCAAATACGGCCAAACATATTTTTTTCGATACTTAAGACAATGTAACAGCAGATTTCCGGCCACAATTTCCAGCAGAATTCTCAGCTCTCCCTACTACTTGAAGTGGTCATGTTAACGAAGCAGTAATTAAATATATCTTGTCCTATTACCTGAATTATGTCCTATGGCTAGACAATTATGGGTAAGGTGTGGCTGTCAGGAGGTGATTAACAGGAGCATGCCGGATTCGTTTGGAGAAATGTTGCTTGACTGGGCATAAAATCTCTCGACAGAAACTTATCAAAAGAGCCTATTTCTCCTATGGTTTATCTGGTTTCGCCGCAACAAATGGGTCTTCGAAAACGTATGGGACCCGGATGAGGCTCTTCTTCTCAGACACAGCAGGATAGTGGCAGATTTTGATGAGTATTCTGAGAGGATTTATGGAGACACATCTCCTCCAAGAGAACCAGTGGGCAGACCTGTCTGGGTGCCTCCTCCTATTGGCTTAGTGAAGGTTAACGTGGATGCATCGATTTCTCAAGATGGTTGGGTGGGATTAGGAGCCATAGCTCGTGATGACAGAGGGCGTGTTCTCTTCTCGGCAGTGAGCAGATTAAGGGCGCGTTGGGAACCATTGGTGGCTGAATGCAAAGCAGCTCTATTCGGTTTAAAGAAGGCAAGGGAGAAAAACATGGGGCATATAATCCTAGAGGCTGATTCGTTATTGCTTGTTTCTAAGCTTAAGAGGGGGTCGTTTTCTCTAGCAGCTGTTGATGGCATTTTAGAGGACATTGTCTCTGCTTGTAAGGACTTCTCTTCTGTTTTTTGGTCCCATGTAAAGCGGGAGGGAAACTTTGTAACCCACCATCTAGCTAGGTTAATGCCGTATGGTAGTGAACAATTTTGGGATAATCTTGTCCCGAATGAGATATCCTCATATGTACTTTTGGACTCTCTTTCTATAAATTAATGCATTAACCTGCTTTCCTCAAAAAAAAAAAAAAAAAAAAAAAAAAAAAGAAATAAAAAAATAAAAAATATATATATATATTGTCTAGTTTTACTGAGTAAAATGGTTAGTAGCTGCTGCACCTACGTAAAGTTTATTGGCATGGGATACAAAATCACTTCGCTAGAATAACAAGTGTTACATACATCAACAAACAAAGCCTGTTCCAGTCAAATTTTGCTTTTCAATGTTAGTAGACCAAACTAGACAAAGAAATTAGAGTACAATGGAATATAGGCTTGTATGGAGTATCTGATAAAACTTGAATAGAAACTCGTGTGATTAGTATTTGGCAAAATCTTGAATGTAATCCGACCAGAAAACAAACTGAATAGCTTATCACTCGAATCAATCCAAACTTAACAGCCAATTTGCCTTGCATACTTCTTATATAGAGAAGTATCATACAGTGTACTTCGTACTTGACGCACCCAAGGCTATAAACTGCTCATTTGGAGCTACGAATGAGTGCATAAAATGCTTTGTTATACCTAATTCTAGGAACATCAGGATGTGGTAGAAATTTATAGGGAAACCACCATTAAATTGTTTTTGACCATACCTAAACTAAGCCCCTTAAATTCCTTCACGAGCATCACAAGTGCAACCATGCAATTCTTACGCTTTATTGTTAAGATTAACTACCAATAGCATCCAAGGAGATAGCAAATCTCAGCTATTTGGAAAGTTTTTTTACTTTTAGCATCCTTGATCAGACCAGCAAGTATAAAGCATCTCTTCTGATGAAAAAAGGTTTAGTGTGCTCAAAACAAGGAAGCATGAGAGAACATCGAAAAAGAAATATACATTTGAGAAAAGGTTTTAGTACAGCCTTGAATCAATACTTATGAGTTATGACTCATACGTTCTAGTAGCAGGTGTATTCACAATAAAACAGTACATTAATAAAACTTTCAGCTAAACATTGAACTTAAGAGGAATGGATAAGCAAGCATTGGTTGCAATAGAACCACTATACAAACTCTCACCCACAAAGGCAAAGAGGGTTGTAATTTTAGGCATATGTAGCACTGAATAAATGAGTATAGGGAAATTAGCCAAGAGCCAGCGACAAGAAAAAGTGGAGGATATTACTCCTTATTATTAACAAAGAACTTAATCTCATATTCCAAAATCATCAAATGTGTCCTCTAAGTTCTAAAGCTCCAAACAAGTGTAAGATGCTAGTAGCCTTAATTACTTGCCAAGTAAATCAAAAGCTCAAAACTAATAGCCAATGAAATGGATGGGCCAAGCAGGGAAGCGTGAAAGCCTCAGGCATATGACTCAAAAGCAAAAGCTATATAAGAACTATGCTACCTAAACTCGAGCAACGATCATTGTTAGTTTATGGACCCAAGGTTAATTGACCGAGTTTTATCTCAGTTTATCCCATTTCAACTGTTCAAGAGTCTAAACAAGCCATCAATCTAAGTAATCGAGGGTCAATTGAGCTCAAATTCCGTAGGTTGGAACAAACAAGCCTACATAAGATTCACTACAGCAATAATCATCAAGAACATTTACATGAACAATTAAATTGACAATACATATGGTCAGCAGACTCAGCACCCAATTTCATACATTCTTTATTCTCCAATTCCATGTAATATCATGTCTCATGTGAGCAATCCTAGTCTCTATAATGCAGTAATCAGTATACAGCTCCAAAAATTAATCATACGCCGCATTGAAAAATGATCCCTAAATATTGAACAGAAATTAAAACAAAGTACTCTTTTAACTAACATGATATGATAAGAGACAGAGGATATACCTAGAAGCAACCACATTGCTTCTTCCATCCCATAAAACTCTCTTCTTGCTTATTCCTACAAACAAAAGCCTCAACACAACCCAAAAACCAACCGGTCACGAATTCAACTCTGCGAATCAGTCCCGAAGAGCTTCATCCTTGAAAGCGGAGACCTCAAGTACCCTTCAACTTCATACTTCTTAGGTGAAAGCTCTCTATACTTAGCAAACTGTTCTCGAGCCTCGGTGTTTCGATCAAGCAAGCTATAAATCATCCCTTTACAGAAATAAGGCCTGAAATCTTTAGAATCCTCCTTAATCAATTCATCATAACTTTTCAATGCTTCATCCACATTCTTCTGCAAGAATTGAATTTGAGCAATGATCAACCTCACATCCCTAGCTTCCTTAGCCTTACTCTCATCCATAGCAATGCTCAAAGCCTTCTCCAACCTAGCAATCACGGTATCCCTTTCACCGCAACGGTCCATAAGCAAAGCATTCTCAAACAATGCCTCAAATGAGAGAGGATTCAATGCCAGAATATCTTCAAATTCATCTCTAGCTTCCTGGGTTTTCCCCATTTCACTCAATAATCTTGCTCTTAGAAATTTCCACTCGATTTCATAAGGTTGAGCTTCAACCAATTTACCCAGAATCTTCAATGCTTCTTCATCTTCCCCAATTTCAAGTTTCTTCTGCAACAAACTCCACAAATTATCCACAAACTCAGAATTTGTTTCCAATAAATGAGACAATGGTGAATTTTCATCAACCCCACTTTCAATTTCACTCAAATTAACAGCTTTCTCTTCCTTCACTGTCGATTCTTCAACAATTGGTGTCGATGGTTCCGCCTTCGCCGGCATTTCCTTCAATTTGGAGGCCATTAAAGTGGCTGCCACCGTCAAAACCACAGTCTTAGCAGCGGTGGAAAGAGTTCGGGCAAATGGGGTTTCTTTTTGGGACCCATTTGAGGGATTAACGCTATGATTAGAGGAAAAATTAGCAGTAATGGAGAGCTTGGAAGAGGGTTTTTGTGGGGGTTTTGAGGAGAGAGAAAATGGGGTTTTTGGAAGAAGAAGATTGCGATTTGATTTGGGAAAAGGAAGGAAAGAAGAGGATATAGCTAAGGCAGAATCCATTAGAGAAGTGTTGAAAAGAGAGAGAGAAAGGTAGGTGAAGCAGCTTTTGAAGGAGTTGGAAATGGAGGAGGTTTTAGGTGAGATGGGGTAATTTTGCTGTTTTTGGGTAGGTGAGAGTGAGACTCGTGAAAAGGGGTTCAAAAAAGTGACCTAAAAAATGGAAGCAACTTTAAGAGAGAGTGGTCGCTAAGTTAGTCCTATGTTTAAGTGAGAGGTCGAAACCCGGACTGGACCTGAAAAAGTCAGGTTGTGTTGACTTTTTAGTCTATGTAATTTCTCGGTTTGATTTCAGTCTAGATTTGGACTGGTGCACACTCGTAGTTGGAGTTGAGTAGACTGAGTGGTCAATGCCTAGGGACTATGAGCTTGAATTTTCACATTGGGGGAAGATTTGGTGCATTTTAGACCTCTAATTGTGCTATGATTAACCAAGTAGAAGAGAAAAGTGTATAATCACAGGGCCTATGTGGAGCATTGCTCGCTGCTCATTTGCTCCAAGTGCATGCAGGACTTTATAAAGTAATGTAAAACAAAACGTATTAGACGGATTAATTTAGTTGTGGCCCAGCCAAAATCTTCTACGAGTAATAAATCAAGCCATTTGATGCACTGATGCCCAAAACCAACATGATTTTGGCTACTTCCATCCAAAGAAAAAGAGCAGAAAATCTGGTCGAGCACAAATTAGCCCACGGGCTGTAGCTACAGTGCTCCTGAAACGATTACTTCTGCACTACAAATATCATGCAAGTAGGAATTTAATCAGCTTCAAAATTGCATTCTACATAGTACAGTAATCTAACCCATTTTAGCTCCTTTAAACATGGGAAAGAAACAAAAGAAAACACAGGAGATTAAAACAAATGAGAGCGGAACATAAACATCAGCCAGTGATCATGGTTCCAGCCCCTTCATCGGTCAAAATTTCCAACAGCAGAGAATGTTGAACCCTACCATCGATTATACTTGCTGTTCTAACTCCTTGAGCCAGTGACCTAATACAACAGTTGACTTTCGGGATCATCCCACCGGCAACCTTCCCTTCTGAAACCATCTTCCTTACCCCGGCAATGTCAATCTCCTTCACTAAACTACCCGGATCATCTTTATCTTCCAAAATGCCCGCAACATCAGTTAACAATATAAGCTTTTCAGCACCCAATGCAGCTGCCAGTTCCCCTGCCACAGTGTCTGCATTGATATTATAGGACTGCCCTTTCTCATCGGCTGCAACTGACGCAATCACAGGAATGTGATTATTTTCCACTAATGGCCGAAGGACAGTGGGATCCACAACAGCAACCTCCCCCACAAACCCAAGTTCGGCAGCTTTGGGGGATGGACGTGCAGTGAGGAGACGTCCATCTAAACCGGACAGGCCAACAGCAGTTGCCCCAGCCTTATTTATGAGAGAGACTAAATGTTTATTGACCTTGCCCACAAGAACCATTGTGACTATCTCCATAGTGGATGCATCAGTGACTCGAAGACCATTGAGGAAGTTCGGTTTGAGGCCAATGCGGTCAAGCCATTGGTTAATTTCAGGACCACCCCCATGTACAAAAATAGGGCGAATGCCCACACATGAGAGAAGTACAAGGTCATTAATTACTGATGCTTGAAGAGATTCAGATTTCATGGCTGCCCCGCCATACTTGACAACAATGGTTTTACCTCGGAATTTTTGAAGGTATGGGAGTGACTCTGCTAGGATATCAACTCGGGTCTGAGCAGGAGTATATTCAGTTACTGATTTATCAAGGTCCAGAGAAAGTGACGATCTAATACATGGTAAGCAACGGTGCGTGGAATTTTTGTTTGCTGGATGGGCACTAGTAAAGGGTAAACGGAGCTTGAGGCAGTAGTTTGGACATTTTAAGGACTTCTCTGAGAACGAAAGAGGAGGAATAGAGGGAGATTTTGCAGCAAACATATTGCTAACCAACTACTGCTTTGGACTTATACGTTATGATACAGTGATCTGAACCTGCCAATTTAAACAAAGTAAGGTGCATGTGAGAATACTTCATCAAGAAATATTACTTGGACGATACAAGAATTCAAGATATATCCACTGCATTGTTGGTTGAACTCAAATATCAGCTGTAGGAGTCTCCATTAAGTACACATGTAAAGCTGCATTCTGCCCATAAGAAAAGCATAGCTTATTACTGCTTCACGGACTCAATAAAGAAAACATTCATTGTATATATAGCACCAAGCTCACAATAATAGGAAGACATTTGGGGATATGTGTTACCACTAGAGTCTCTTACATGCCAAGAATATAAAATTAGAGTTAGCTCACTTATACACCCCTTCATACCATTGATTAGGTTCTTGGTATTATTTGTGATTCCCCGGTGTCCAAAATTCTTGAAGAAAGAATTATTACTATCCAATCAACAAAACCCCTTCACCATAGTCCATACCCCTAGATAAGGCAGATTGTATAGGCCAAAGTTTGAGCAACAATTCTAGATATGACCTTTAAAAAATCAATTAACAACAGGAGTGACAAATTCTTAAATGATTTGTACCCTCCCTCCCAAATTAATTTGCAATTTTGCATACAACCAACTATTTTCAGCTAACTAGACCTCCCCTAATTTAATAAATAAGAGGCAAGGAAAGTCATGGCAAAGGTGTGAATCTAGGACAGAATGTCAGTGCATTATGTTATGTAACGTATATTATATGGAGTCCGATTGTTATATGGTTTTCCATTAGCCAAATCCATACTTTGGCTTGGCCTAAGGATTGGGCTTCTTACCAAGGATACATTAATAAATGTTCCTAACTCCTCATCTTACATGCCAAACGCATAGCACTAAAGAGTATTCCATCATTCCAGACAACACCTGTTGTTTACAAAGGTTCTCGGCATGGATAAGTTATTGTACATTTGCGAAAGTTCATGCCATGGATAAGTTACTCTACACGGCTACACCTATGATCAGTGGCGGATCCAGGACTTTTCGGGTGGTGGGTCACTACCGTATACTAATCAATAATGCAAGAATATTAAAAAGGCTAATAATTTGTGGTGGAGGAGGTGGATAAGAAGGATTTTGTGGTGAAAGAGGTGGATCTTGTAGAGGAAGAGGTGGAGGAGAAGGATTTTGTGAAGGAGGAGGATTTTGTGGAGGAGGAGGAATTTTCGGACCAAAGAAACTTGTGATATCACACAATTTTTCCTTTTCATTCTGAAAATTAAGTTACATGATCAATTAGATTAAGAAAACCACAATTGCTTCAAAAATCCAAGTTAATTATACACACTAACTTGATAATAAAGTATAGCTAAAAGCCTAAAACACTAATAGTGAGCTTACCACTGAACATATACAAATTCAAGGCAATTATTCAAAATCACTAATTACTATAACCAATTGACCAATTCTAATATCAATTTCAAAAAATCAGAAATGCAATTATCCAAACTAATCAATTCCAAAAAAAATCAGAAACCCTAAGTTCTTAACCAGCCAAATTTCATAGATTAAATATGAAATCATCAATTTTACTAGCCCATTGTCAATTGATAATATCAATTTCTAAGAGAAAAAACTCAGAAATTCAATATTATCAATTCTTAAAAAATCAGAAGCATTAACTCCCAAATTTGATAAATTTAATAACAAATCAACAATTTCAAAGAACATACACGCTAATTGACTAGATTAAATAACATAAACAACTCAATTAAGCACAAAATCAACCTAACTAGCCAACAATTAATACGAAATTAAAAACTTGAAAATCAATTAAATCACCTAGATCTAGAAGGCTGTAGGAGTGCGGCTGTGCGGACGTGCGGTGGGCCACTGGGCTATGGGCGGTGGCTGGAAGGTGCGGCGGCAGCGGTGTGCCGGTGTGGGGGTGTGACGGTTTCAGTGAGAGTGTGAGACAGTGACTTTCAATTTGTCGATGAGAGAGAAAGTAATGTCACTGTTTTGTTTTTTTTTTATTTTGATGACAGGGACCAGAAATACTCAAGTCCCCGTTTTCCGGTTGGATCAAAGGGTACCCGAAATTACAATATCAACATTTTCTGATTCAAAAAAATACTAATGTAAATATGCACTTACTAGACAGCAGTTAAGCGGAGCCAAAAAAACAAACGATTATTCACGATTTTAATTTGTAAACAACTTCCTACCCAAAATGTGAAAATTAATAATCAATATACTGCCCAAACATGTGAAAATTTGTAATCAATTTGCTGCCCAAAATATGAAAATTTATAATCAATTTACTGCCGAAACATCTGAATAGTTAAGATGAAGATGCAATTACAATTTCCATGGGTATTAAGAAAAATTAAACACTTGATTACTTATACACCGTAAAAAAAAAATTGCAATTTTTAATGTTAAGCAACACTAGTCCAATTAAAATATTCAGAGTAAATAGCAAATTAAAACATGAATTATACAAAGATAAAATTGATTATACCTGGGACTGATGGAAGACGGTGGTTGGTGGGGCTGAGGTGCGGCGGCGGATCTAGAGTGGAGTGGCAGAGTTGAGAGAGTGAGGAGAGAGAAAGTGGGCAGGTTGAAAATTTGCAAAACCCCATCTTTTAATCTTCCTTAAATCCCAGGGAATTTTTTTTTGGGATTTTTGAAAAAACAAAATGGTTACTGGGTACCTATTTACTCCGAAAATCAAACCTGTACCCGACCTGTTTCTGCACCCTTTCCCGGGTCGGGTATTATTTTTGGAAACCATTTGTTCACGTACTCGTCTTTATAAATACAATATTTACTTTGTACTTCCTCCGTTCTAGATTAGATGACACATGGAAATTTTTGATAATATTCATTAACTTTGTTTTAACTAACATTTGTGATTTATAGGTATAAAAAAAACATAATAATGTAGAATTTTGTTATATTCATTTCAATGTGTACTTAATTAAAATTTAATTTTTAGTATTGTTTAATTAAAGATATATCCGATAAACTTTTGCATTGGTAAACGTAATAAAAGAAATGTGTTATCTAATTTGGAAAAGTATATGAGTGATTAGTAAAACTTATTTGTTCATCGATAAAACTTTTACATTGACAAACGTAATAAAAGAAATGTGTTATCTAATTTGAAAAAGTGTATGAGTGATTAGTAAAACTTATTTGTACATCTAATTTCTACTCCTTTAAAGAGAGTAACTTTATCTATAAAATTATACTTGAAGTAATTTTTATGTATATTGATGTTACTTTTACTTATATAGAGATAAATTATAATCATTTTAGTGTATTTTGTACATCCTATATATTTTTAAAAAACGAACTGGGTCGGAATGAAATTAAAACCAGATTGAGGGAGTTCTGGTACTGGGTGATATGGGTTAAAATGGTTTTTAAATAAAATATACTTGGACAAGTAAGGAATTTGTTCAAGTAAGCTCATCATCAATATCATGATTTAGTACATAATCCTCAAAATGACCATGATTACAGAAGCAAAGGATAGATGAGCCAGTTTACAGTTTATACTGTTTACGATCAGTCAAAAGAACAGCCACTTACAAAAATATACACACAATTTTACTAAATATTAACACCTAGTAGGTTTGAGGGCATGGACATCTACGGAATATGTAACGCTTTTCCAAGAGGACAATCTATTTTCTCTTCTTCTTGGCCTTCTTCTTTGCATGTTTCGACATTGTTTGTCCTTTCCCTTGGTTTATCTCAACAGCTTGACAGCCCTTTAGCTGTTTTCCAGGAGCAGCAGCTGGAGAGGCATCCATCTTCCCCTCCTCATTCTTACTATCATCATCATTTCCTTCCTCTGCAGTAGTTGCCTCATAATCCTCTGGGGAAGTCGCGTCTTTTTGAGGAATCAGCGAACTCAAAAAGTACTCAAATACTGGCTTTCCTGAGAACAGCCTTCTTGCACTGTCTTCGACCAACATATTATCTTTCAGATGTCCACTGAAATAACCATGCCGCCAAATGATTAGTATATATACAGGAAATCATAAGAGCTGAAGTCGTTAAAAGCATAGTTACTAGTTAGTAACCTGAAAAATAAATACATTAATGGACAATGAAAAATTATAAATAAATTACTATTATGAGGCACAAATTACAGGCCAACACAAACAGTTGCTTGATTTTAGAAGTGTCTTCTTCAGTAAATGTATATAGTTGCTTGAATTCTGTTGTGACAATCGGCTATACTGAGATCAAGCCGTACACGTTCATGAAGAATCCATAATAAAGTGTATCTTGAAGCAACAATACTTCATATATATTGAATTAGATTAGAAGTTTGAACTGACCTATCCAAGGCTGCTGATAAGAGCTGTAACTCAAGAAGCAGGCAATCACCTTCTTCCTTGTACTCATCAGTGCAAGTATTATGTTCCAATGCCATGGATATTGCGTTCATCAGAAGGTCATATATTTTGTCAATTTGAACCTGTAAATTGTAACAAAGTTCATCATATAAAAGAACTCATAAATTAAAAACATAAAGATGAATGCCTGTTTCAAAGAGAAATTCAGAATTACCCTGATCTTTGGGACATTAGACACAAATCTATTACAGCTTTTGTCATCCTTGTGTTCTACCAGCTTGAACAAATCAAAAACTTCCCATAAATCACCATCTTGGGGCTCAGCACATCCTTCATTCTTCTTTTCAGGTAATAAGGTGCCGCATGTAGTACCCGATTTAGAGTCCGTGTCATCGACTCTATCTTGACAAGCATTTGCCTTGTCTGGAAACAGGATTCTGAGCATGTCCTCTTTACTCTGGCCAACAATATCAAGAGAAATGGCACCCTTGCAGAACACTTTTGAACGGATTTTTCCGGTCCTTACCACAACCAGAGGATCATTAATTGCATTAAATGCTTCAGCGACAGCATTGTTGATGCCAACCTTCTGACATTTGTGAATAGCATTAGAGAAGTCAAATGGTAATTGATTGATAATTTCCCAACTTAACACATCATGAAGTTCCTGCAAATAGCTATTAGAGTTCAGATGAACTAAGCACATCAAAACAACTAATCTCAGTAGCAGCACACCGAAATTCTCCTTTGCATTGATGCCAACTTTTTTTACCCATAGCACCGTTTCAGCTCTGTTCATAAGAAGCTGATGAATTATGCGAGCCAAAAGAAAATAAGTATCTCTCAAAAACACAGATTTTTCACCAGTTCTATCACTGACAGACACCCAATTTTTGCCAAAATTGGTATCTCCTTCAGAATGAATAAACCATTCCACAAGAGATGATCTGGTTGTCATTAAGAAGCCCTGAAACCCCAGAAGGGAAACCATTAGGCGACAACTAGATAAAAGAAACAGACAGGTGATATGTAATCTCTTGTCCTCCAATCTGCATCATATACATCCTTTAGAACTCTCTGAAGTTTGCAAGCAAGGGACTCTGCCAGTTGAGTATGAGCCTGAGCTTGAGTAGCAGAGCACTGAGAAATGACCTGAAGAAATGGCTTCCAAGGAGAATCAGTGTCAAGTCTACTCAAAACCATTCGTGAAGATAGAATTTTACCCTTAGGTGAACCGAGAACCACCATGGACACGCGTCCAAGCTGCCCAAATGTCATTTTATCAGTCCCCTGGATGTTAGTTAATATGACATCTTCTAGTATTTTCCTTGAAATATCTACCTCCCTCAAAACCATCATGTCTATGCTAACAGACTTTTTCCAGTCTAAAGGAAACACACAATTAAAGTGTTCTGCTATTGAAACATCAATGTATTTCTGCAGCAACCTTTCATCCTGAAATCTCAACTTCACAGGTTTATAGGAGGATAGCATCTGTGCAATTTCATAAACATAGAGGACTAACCTAGACGTGCTAAAATCTGACAATGAACTCTTCCGAGGGTTCTTCCGTAGTGCTTCAAGAACACTCAAAACTTTCATGCCAGTAGAAAGTAACTCCATAGACCAATGGTTGTTCGCAGCAGCTAACAAGTGCTCTGTACCAACCGTTAACAATTTCCCAAATTTTTGGAAATAACTTTGGTCACTATCTTTGATCCAACTGGCATCAGGGTACAGGCAAACATAAACAGTGCTCGTACTAGAAGACAGTTTCCGAACCCCAAGGTAGTTCAAACAGAATTCCCCGAGTTCTGCAATATCACTAGATTCACTTACATCTACTGCCCCAAGGAACTTGAATATTCTTAAAATAATCTCTTTCCACAAGCTCCAAAAGTAAATTAATGTTTCAACCGAGACCTTGTTTCGGGAAATCCTTTCCAGATGCATGGCCGAATTCTCTGTGATGTCCCTTCCCCGTTCATATTTGGAAACATCAACTTGAAGCATTAAGTCCAGAATTCCTTTAGTTGATAGTATCACCCCTCTCATATTGTTATGACGTTGAGAGATGGTCAGCAATTGTTTCATCTCAGGCAGAGAATAGTTTCTGTTCATGAAGATCAGGCTATCTGTACAAGCAGTCTTATAAAGATCACGTGGCTTGATATTATGAGCAGAGGCTTTGGCTTTCATTAGCAGCTCCTCCATCTGTGGGAAATTTTTTAGCGGCCAACCTTTACCATCAGCCCAGAGACAACTGGCAAGAGTGTACCACAAAAGAAGTTCACATGCCTCCTTGTGAAGTCCACCCTTTTCTAGTAGATCTGCTTCAAGCAGAAGCTCCCCTCTTTCCCTTGCAATATCAGCAGCCTTTAAGAAGTTACCTAATTCTAACGCCAAATCCAGAAGCTCATCAAGGCACCCCAAATTCTTGAGAAAGGTTTGCATGGACTCCTCAGAATTAAAAGCCTTAACAAACTTCATCATCTCAATCTTATCATCCTGATCGTACAGAGAACGAGCACAATTTTCTAGGAACACTTGTTCAATCAAGTCTAATTCTCCACCTGTTTCCTGGTGTTTCCAATTATGAATGAACTGCAGACCCAAGTCATACAACTTCCCTTCTGTGCAAGACGAAAGGCACTCAGAGAAAAGATTACACTTGGCAAATACCTCGGCAGCGCGCTCATGATGCCCGGCCAAGGCTCTTTCTCTTGCAATATCAGCAGCCTTAGAGAAGTTTCCTAATTCTACTTCCAAGTCCATAAGCTCATCAAAGCACCCTACATTCTTGAGAAATGAGTGCATGGACTCCTCTGAATTAAAAGCCCTAACAAATTTCAGCATCGCTATCTTATCACCCTGCTGATGTAGAGGATGAGCACAATTTTCTAAGAATACTTGTTCAATCATGTCTAAATCTCTACCCATTTCCTGGTGTTTCCAATATTGAACATATTGCAGGCCTAAGTCATACAACTTCCCTTCAGTGCAAGACAAAAGGCACTCACAGAAAAGATTACACTCAGCAAATACCTCAGCAGCGCGCTCATAATGTCCAGCAAAGGTGAAACAGTCACCGGCTTTTTTAAGATTAGAAACACCACCCAGCTCCAAATATATTATACCTGAGAAGATACATACCTAAGTCAATATGTGTAAATTCCAAAATATTATAAAGATAAATCACATAGAAAACCAAGCATAATTTTCATTTCCAAAGAAAATCACAGCCAGGAACAAGATAATGCTCTGTTATTAAACTAAGATAGTTCACATTTTAGATACATATTTCACACCCAATGAAATGTAATGGATGATTCGTAAGCTGAGCTGAATACTTTAGACAAAACAAAGGCTACCAAACCAGGTAAACACAATAGTTCTTAGTAATCTATTTGAATCAGCCAGTTACCTTTAACAAACATACATAATGACATTTAACATATCAGCAAGTTGCCTTTCGTAGTTCTATATTTGATACATTCCCCATTTCCCATGATTCCTGGTTGCAAACTACCAAATGCTTTCCCTCCCTTATACATAAACCAGCACCACCAAACTAAAATTGATTTTACAAACAAACAATTTCAAAACTCTAAAGCAGTTAAGCTATTATATGCTTTAGCTGTTACAAGGTAATACAGTAAGATGCAAAAACGAAAAGGATCGTATTACTATTTACATCTTGTTTCGGCAAAAAATGAGCTAACCGGGCCTTGGAGGGGTGTCTGAGAACCTCGAATTTGGGCCTTGAATGGACCTGCAAAATGAACCCCGAGCCCCGGGGGTTGAACCCGGGGCGGAGCCTCCGACGCCCAAGTTAGTTGCCAAACAATGCATATTTTGAGAGGAGTTTAGGGGAGAGAGTGGAGGAGTATGGTCATCTTAGATGATAAGAGTGACCTCCTTTTACCTTATGCCCTTTGAGGGGTTTTATATGAGTACATAAGTGGGTTTATGAGCCCTAAAATTACATATGTGGGCCGTTGAAGGCCATCCTGATGTATTTGACTTATTTGGGGCCTTTTATACCTTTTTTATGCCCTTTGGGCTTATATGGGTAGAGTTACCCAAGACTAAAATGGGTATGACCATTTTAGTACCCAAACAATTAGCCCCCGAGACCCAATTCTATTTGAAAAAATGAGTTGGGTTTTGTTTCAATTTCCCAAATAATTCGTTCATAGAAATTGAGTCGAAGGACTTTATTTGTTCAGGTTTATGCAAGGCAACACTCTTGATCCGAGGATTGTAAGAGTTATTACTCTTGATCCGAGGACTGAAAGAGTTCATTTGAGGCAACACTCTTGATCCGAGGATTGAAAGAGTTAATTACTCTTGATCCGAGGACTGAAAGAGTTCATCTGAGGCAACACTCTTGATCCAAGGATTGAAAGTGTTAATTACTCTTGATCCGAGGACTGAAAGAGTTCATCCGAGGCAACACTCTTGATCCAAGGATTGAAAGAGTTAATTACTCTTGATCCGAGGACTGAAAGAGTTCATACGAGGCAACACTCTTGATCCGAGGATTGTAAGAGTTTATTCTGAGGCAACACTCTTGATCCGAGGATTGTAAGAGTTTATCCTGAGGCAACACTCTTGATCCAAGGATTGAAAGAGTTAATTACTCTTGATCCGAGGACTGAAAGAGTTCATCCGAGGCAACACACTCTTGATCCAAGGATTGAAAGAGTTTATCCTGAGGCAACACTCTTGATCCGAGGATTGTAAGAGTTAATTACTCTTGATCCAAGGATAGAAAGAGTTTATCTGAGGCAACACTCTCTTGATCCAAGGATTGAAAGAGTTAATTACTCTTGATCCGAGGACTGAAAGAGTTCATCTGAGGCAACACTCTTGATCCGAGGATTGTAAGTGTTTATTCTGAGGCAACACTCTTGATCCGAGGATTGTAAGAGTTTATTCTGAGGCAACACTCTTGATCCGAGGATTGTAAGAGTTAATTACTCTTGATCCGAGAATAGAAAGAGTTTATCACTCTTGATCCGAGGATAGAAAGAGTTTACCCTTAATCCGAGGATAGAAAGAGTTTACTCTTGATCCGAAGATAGAAAGAGTTTTACTCTTAATCCGAGGATAAAAAGAGTTTATTACTCTTGATGCGGGGATAGAAAGAGTTTTACTCTTGATCTGAGGATAGAAAGAGTTTACCCTTGATCCGAGGATAGAAAGAGTTGATTACTCTTGATCCGGGGATAGAAAGAGTTGTTTTTTTTTTTTTTTAATCATCATCATCGTGAGGAAGATTGATGATTAATTTTATCATTGTCATCGTGAGGATAGTTGATGATATTTTTTTTTTTTGAGGAAAATATTGACTCGAAAAATTAAGAGCCATTTTTCTTTGCTGAAGCAATTTGATAGATGGGCTTTGATGAAAGTGGGCCCGAAGCCATTTACTTGATAAAAGTAGTAGCCGCAGGTAAGAAAGCTTCTGGCCATCTACCCTGACAAAGGTAGTTTTTTTTTATGGCTTATAGCTCTTTGAAAATGGTCAAAAGGTAAATTTTTCTTCTGACTTGTTATCATCAGATTTGATGTAGGTTGAGGTCGGGTACAATTTGAGCCAATTGCACTTGACTGCCGAAGCTAATTGCTTTGGTTGCTCTAGCATTAGCTCGTATGAGCTTCGGCTTGGATGAACCTTCTTCGGTTCAGACAAACCATCTTCGGCAGCACCCTCGGCTCATATGGTTGTGAGCTTCGGCTGGGAGCTCGAATCTCGGCGAAGGTAAACCTCGGCTGGGCTCGGCTTCGGCTATGGCTAGCCTCGGCCAGGAGATAAGAGGTGAGCTTCGGCTCGGCAATGGTTACCGACCTTAACTTGGGAGCGGTAAACTGTACCACCCTTGGTTTCTGCTGAATCACCTTCAACTCGCCCAGAACGCCTTCGGCTTGGGCTGAAACTCCTTCGGTCTCGGCTAAAAAGCCTTAGGCTTGGCTGAAACACCGGTCTCGGCTCGGCTGGCTTGCCCAGAACACCTTCGGCTTGGGCTGAAACACCTTCGGATAGCCTCGGCTCGATGAGCTTCGGATTCCTTTTGCTTATCCGAGCTATTTGCTTCGGATTTTTAGATTGGTGATAGTTTGAGCTTTTTTAAGCTTCAACAATGGTAGACAACCTCGGATCTTCTTCGGCTGCTACTTTAGATGTGATGTGAAGAGATTTGGCTCACTTCACAATACTAGCCTTGACCCCCATTGACCTCGGCATGTGTTGCCTAGGATGAAATGGTGAGTCGTTCTAGTGGTGGAGTTGTGAGCCTTGAAGCTTGTGATGAAGACAATGGCAATTTCCTTCGGCAAGCATTGAATTTACATAAACTTGATTGATTTTTTATGTATGTTTCATGCCACCTGCTGCCTCTTCAACTTGGTGGTGTGAATGAAAGGCTTGCTTTTGTGAGCTTTCCATTAGAGCCACGTAGATCTAGCTTTTATTCTTCTTCAAGAATAATTAAGGTTTGACCATATTCATGGAATATTTCCCAATTTTTTTGTAAAGGCACGAAGTACCTTGTTACTAGTGGTTAGATTGGCGACAAATCAAAATGTTTATCTATCATCTCCACCATTTGCAAGAATGATTACCCCTTTTGACAGGAGTAATAATTTTGGGTTAAATTTGCTAGAAATTTTGACCCTTTTTCGTGATAGAACACAGTAGCCATGAATTAGTGGATTTTCATGGGTAGTAGTACTCGTCTCCCCATAGACGGCGCCAAATTGTTTCGGCAAAAAATGAGCTAACCGGGCCTTGGAGGGGTGTCTGAGAACCTCGAATTTGGGCCTTGAATGGACCTGCAAAATGAACCCCGAGCCCCGGGGGTTGAACCCGGGGCGGAGCCTCCGACGCCCAAGTTAGTTGCCAAACAATGCATATTTTGAGAGGAGTTTAGGGGAGAGAGTGGAGGAGTATGGTCATCTTAGATGATAAGAGTGACCTCCTTTTACCTTATGCCCTTTGAGGGGTATTTATATGAGTACATAAGTGGGTTTATGAGCCCTAAAATTACATATGTGGGCCGTTGAAGGCCATCCTGATGTATTTGACTTATTTGGGGCCTTTTATACCTTTTTTATGCCCTTTGGGCTTATATGAGTAGAGTTACCCAAGACTAAAATGGGTATGACCATTTTAGTACCCAAACACATCTGATACCTAATCAATACAGAAAATAAAAGATTAAAATCAAAATTTGGCATCTTATATACAATGGTATGTTTTGGCTCAAAATCAGTTTGTGTAACATATAATGAAACCATTCTACTACTCAGCGCTAGATTGGAGTTTCTGACTTCACATCCCTATACTTGGAATTTATTGAAAGAAAAATAGAAAAATCATTCAACCTCCTAAAAACAGTGGGTTAAGACAGGCTGTATCATATGTGCCTCTAGACCCCAAAATAAGTGGTTTAATACAAGTCTCTGCAACTAAAACAAGTCATATCCCAAGGGCAAGGGCATACCTGCTCTATCATATTCTTTCAACTCATAGAAGCAATCTGCAGCTTTCTGGTACACGTTTATGCTTTCAAAAAGCTCAGCAGCTTGTCTGAGAATGGTAGAGGCTTCTTCAGGATTCAAGTGATAAGTTCGATCAGCAGCCGCCCTTAGCCCAGCAGCCTTAGCATATGTTTCCCAATGCCTATCACCAGCTCTTTCAAAGCACATTGTAGCTACCTCGTAGTTTTCAACTGCTAGCAACTGCAGATTAAAGCAAAACTATAATTTTGTGAAGGAATCATTAATAGTTTAGAGTAGAAAAGTTGTCTTTTATGTGTATACTGTAAAAGGAATCATTGCTCATCAAAGTTTGATCAAAACAGACTAACCTTTCTGCCACGAGCTTTCCACTCCTCTGGACTGCTTGCGACTTGCATTGCACGTGCAAGTGAATCATCCAATTGCCTGATCTGAACCACACATAACTTCTTCCAATAATCAAACATAGGTTTTGAAAGATCCTCTTTGTTCTCACAAATCCATAATCTTTGCCGTGTGCGAGTGATGGCAACATATAGCTGCTTCAGTTCAGAGCATAATACATTGTGCTTTGCAGGATTGAAATTGGGAAAGGATGGTTGCAAATTCGTATCAAGCAGATTCTGCAACTTCATAAACTCATAGATTACTCTCCATTGATTTTTTAGTGGAGACGACCCAAAGAAGTTATACAGGAGGACATCCTACAGAGGCAACAACATAAATTACAATTTACAAACATATAGGATTTTACTGAATATCATTGAAACTCATAGTTTTACATACATATTCTATTTTCATTTACCTGAAACTCCAACCCTTTGCACTCAACTATTGTTAGCACAAGAGCATGTTTCCCTATGTAACTTGATATTTCCTTCCGATCACAATCATCTCGCACAAGTATCACCTGCTCAGCTCCAAAACCCACAAGATTACTACCACCCATATTTCCAGTATTGCCAAATATTGTGACAATAGCATTCTCATCTGACCCAGACTCAAGCAAGATTGGAGCTTCTCCAAAGATGTAACTATTCTCAGGTTTCAAAATGTCAATAGAATGAGGAAAGAAATGATAAATAAGTTTTATAACACTTTCTCCTAACTTAAGTATACCAGCATGGGTACGAAAGTTCTGGCTCAACTGAAAAATCTCAGAAACCTGTCCTCTCATTTGGCTTCCACTAGCCCCATCATTTCTTTCTCTCGTCAAAAACTCTTTTTAGAACAAACATTTCACATCCTGAAACCGGAAATCAATCCCCCTTGCAATTGTCTGAGCTGTGTCACCAGAAAAAATAAAACCTTCATCCACGTTTCTGCAGATATATTTAAACAGGGAAATTTGTCTCATAGTCAGGTCCTGAACTTCATCAATATAAACAAAATCAATTATATCACCAACATATCTTTCACGCTTGAGCCGTCTATGAAGATCATTCACAAAATCTGATATATCAAATTCTCCTCTTTCTAATTTCATCTTCTCATAAGTCAGGAATATGTCAAATATCATCTCTCTCTTCTGCCGATTTAGAGTTGTTCGCCCAGCAAAAAGAAGAAGATAATCCTCGAAACTAAGCTTATCATCATCAGTTTCTCCGGTCTGTAGACCACCTTTAATGACAGAGATTATCTCAGTAAAAACTCTGGAGGAATCAAGCTTCTTGGTAAGCTGTGAATTGAAATGGGGCCAATAAACTGAACTAAATTTCTCAAAGTTGACCTCTTTCCTTTTCATAAGGAAAGTCATGGATGTACTAGTATTTCCTCCAAAAGAGAGATCCAGATCACCATGAAATCTTTCAAAGTAAGAACTACCTAATGTACCGTCAAGCATGAATAAAAACTTGTTAAAAGTTAACACAAGAGGGTAGGACTTCGGAGGAACTCCAACAAATGAGTCTGGGATACCACTAAACTGCTCGCTGTCATCAATATCATCAGCATCAATGGGGTCACTAGCCAAAGAACTCTCCTTACGAGCAAAACTGCATGACAAAAAAGGTAGACATTTAAGAGGCAGAACAGTACTACAGAAGAATTAGAACTAAGCAAACACTAACATGCAGCAGAGCTTAGAGTTAGAAAACAATATATCAAGTCTACATAGAAGCAAGCTAGCAAAGTCAACAACTGACATAGGAAATCTGTGGTGAAGGAATTAAAAATGGTGATATATGAATAAAAAATGACACTGGCCACACCACCATACACATAAAACAAAGAACCAGAGAGGGAGCTAGAAAAATCAGGGGAAAACACACTCCACCACGTACCTTTTAAGATGAGAAACATGTTGTTTTATGGCATAGTAAAGTTTTGGACTCACAGTCACAAAAAGCTGGCGTAAGACATTGTCATTCGCTGCATTCTCATTGGAGTGGGTGACATCCACATTGCTGGAGTCTTTATTTACTTCAACCAAGCCTTCAACAGCCATGTGATGCAATTGCTCTTTCTGATATAATTTCATCGTTAACACAGTTGTCTTTCCAGTACCAGAACGTCCTAATATAAAGGAGCTTTTTGGGTGAAGAATTATTTGATACTCCTCATCCGTTACTTCAAAGGGCAAGTCCAAAGCTTTACCATCAGCATCAGACAGCAAATGACCTACTATGCCCGCAGAAAGAGAGTAAAACTTCATCAACAACAAGCTTTCGCTCACTTTGGCATTCTCAGCATAACATGTGCCATCCAAATCACCATCAGAAGCAGTTGTTGACTCAGCATAGTTGCTCTTAAATCGGACAATGTCAATTGACTTGATCCAAGTCCTTGGGACCTCTAACTCCCTAAAGCCATTAAATAAGATTTTTTTTTTTTAGACAACCATTAAATAAGATAATAAAAAATGAGGAATGAACTACGAAAGTTATTTTCTTTCAACTATAATTAAAAAGGCAGTGGTATCTAGTTCAACAGAAATTGATGAGAAACGGCTTACCCCTCAAGACTACGCTCTTTGCAACGAATCAAGAAATCATCAGTGAAGGCTCCATAAATGCTATCAAGTCTTTTAACCAGCTTTGGCACATCTTCCAGTGGCACAACATCCCAGATCTTCAGTATTTGCACGTACTCAGAATCTTTCATGATATCATTCGTGCAAATGACATAGCGACCTTCAACTTTGTACCGTTTGACAATTTGTACGGTGCTCTCACAAACAGGGTCAGCTTTGATTTTCTTAGGTCGCCAGCCATTTGAGAGTTTCACAAGAAGATTCATTACTGACTTTTTTGCCCGGGTTGAAGGAAGCTTTGAAAAGCTTTTCACAAAATTATCACTGAATAGAACCTAGACAACACGATAATAATGTATTATGTACTAATAGACAGTCTAAACATCATTAAGATTATAAGATGGTGGAAAACAATTACATCAACAGAAAAGGAAAGAGAACATACCTTCCACCTGGCACTTTTAAAACGTATACTATCCTTATTAAGCAAGTCATCAAGTTGATTAAGCTCCTTCTTAATATCTATCATGGCTTCAGTCAAGCTCTTATCTTCATCAGCATTAAAAAGACAATGACGCTCTCTAGCGTCGCAAACTAATCTTTTCCAAATTGATTCACTTAGAAGAAGTGTTTTTTGATTTCCAAGTATCCAAAGACAATGCCTGAGCATAATGAAAAAATTCATTCAGTTGTCTTAAGATACAGCTATTAAAAAAAAAATCAAAAAAAAAAAGAGATAGAGAGACAGACAAAAATGAGCCCACACGAAATTCACAGCCATACCTTGCCCTAGTGAGAGCCACATTCATACATTGAGAACTTGAGATAAACCCAACTTCACCAACGTTATTAGACCTTACAGTTGATATAATTATGATATCCTCCTCTCCACCTTGAAAACCATCAACAGACTTCACCTTCACTTCAAAATTTTCAAGTTTTTCATACCTTCTCCCTAGCAACTCCTCAATGGCCACAACTTGTGCAGCATAGGGTGATATTACACCAATGAAAAGCCTTTCAGTTGAGTGACACCATGCTGTAAAAGAAAGCAAATACTGACAATTATTTAACCAGGCTGAAAAATATGTTAGCTGCTATTATACAGTGACAACCCACAAGAGCGTATACCTCCTCGGAAGTTTATTTTAAAAATAAAGGAAAGAAAAAAACAGAGAACTCCAATGATAGTAATCATAACAACACAAAAAATGGTGTTCGCTTGTAAGCTCTCCTCAAAAGACTGAACAAAGGCTCTAAGGACACTTGAGCTCTTTCTCAATCAGTCTCAAACAGTTTAGTTTATCTATCAGTCTACTATCACCTATCAATATAAAATTTGTTTCAAAGTACACTCCCTATGTCATGATCAAAAACTTCTAGTTCCATGCAAAATAGAATTTTTTTTTTTTAAAAAAAAAAAAAAAAAAAAAAAAGCACAGCACCATTATAGCAAGAGGATACTCAAATGATCAACATCTAAAGGGCATATGATCCACACAAATTATCAAAACATACTGTTAGGATTAGTGTGGATATAGATAAATACATGGAGACATAAGGAGATTGCATAGAAGCTGCCTTATTGTTAAGGTTCGACCAAACTTGTGAAAAGTTCGGTCGAACCCGGTTTTAAGTCAGTAGGTGAACCAGTTTACATTTCTAGAGGAGGAGTGACCAAACCCAAGGAGGTTCGACCGAACCACCCCAGGTTCGACCGAACTCTGGGTAGGTTCGGCCGAACCTCCCTGCTCCCTATTTCGTCGCTTCGTTTTCGGCTTGTGCGATTTGCTTTAATCTTAGCCGTTGGATTGTATTTTCTACCTAGACTATATATACCTTTTCTAAGCCTCTTTGTTGATTATTCACAAACATTTAAACACATAGAGAGGTTTTGAGAGGGTTTGTGAGGAGCATTTGAATTCTATACAATTCATGCTTGTAATTCTTGAGTTCATTCATCATCAATATTACTCCATAGTGCAAGGGTGGGTTTTTTCTCCCGGTTCTCGGGTTTTCCCACGGTAACATTGTCTTCCTTTTACTTGCTTTAATTACTTCAAAGTTGTTCTTGATTGTTATGCTTGTTTGTTCATTGCTATTGTGGGATGATTGCAAGTTAGTTGAACACTTTAATCCTTACAATTGGTACCAGAGCCAAGGTTGAATCTTTGGTGTTTTGATGATTTAGGGTTTGTGTTAAACTTGAAATTGTGATTGAGTTTCAAAGTTTGGAACTTTAGGTGTTCAAAGTTTGAGTCTTGGGTGTCAAGTTGCATTCTTTGTTGTTGAAAACCTATTGTGAACTTTGTGTGTTTGATTTGCAATGGAAGAAGGCAAGTTGAGAATTGAGAAGTTTGATGGGAAGGATTTTGGGTTTTGGAAGATGCAAATAGAGGACTATTTGTATCAAAAGAACCTATATTTGCCCCTTACTAGTAAACCATCGGGTATGAAGGAAGAGGAGTGGAAAGTATTGGATAGACAAGCCCTTGGAGTGATTAGATTGACATTGGCTAAGAGTGTTGCTTACAATGTCAAAGATGTGACAACGACGGTTGGTGTGATCAAAGCATTGTCCAATATGTATGAGAAGCCATCGGCTATGAACAAGGTGTTCTTGATGCGTCGTTTGTTTGAAATTGAGATGAATGATAGTGGTTCCGCCCCCGAACATATAAATGAATTCAATTCAATAATCTCTCAACTAACTTCGGTTGAGATTAAGTTTGATGATGAAGTGAGGGCCTTGATCTTGTTGTCATCGTTGCCTAGAAGTTGGGATACCGTTGTAGCCGCCATTAGCAACTCTTCCGGAAAGTCGAAGTTGAAGTGTGATGATGTGAGGGACTTAATCTTGAGTGAGAGCTTGAGAAGGAAGAACTCGGGTGAGTCATCGGGTGGTGCTTATTCTAGTGAAGGTAGGGGACGTGGAAGACAACAAAGAGGTGCTCAAAGAGGAAGATCGAAGTCTAGAGGGAGGAGTAAGTCGAAAGGGAAGGTGAACATTGTGTGTTGGGGTTGTGGTGTGAAAGGGCATACTAAGAGGGAATGTCCTAATCCCAAGAAGAAGGGTGGTTCAAACCACAAGAACCACGATGATGCTAGTTCATCGGTTAGCTTGGCATCAAGCGATGAAATCGGTGATGCATTGATCTTGAGTGTTGATAGTCCCATTGAGTCTTGGATCCTTGATTCGGGAGCTTCATTTCATTCTTCTCCATGTAAGGAGATTTTCCAAAACTTCAAGAGTGGCAAGTTTGGAAAGGTGTACCTTGCGGATGATGAACCGTTGGAAATTTTGGGGAAGGGAGATGTCATGATCAAGACCTCAAGTGGGAGCTCATGGAAACTTGAAGATGTTAGGTACATACCTAAGCTAAGGAAAAATTTGATTTCGGTGGGTCAACTAGACTCAAGCGGTTATAGAACCATGTTTGGTGAGGGTACTTGGAAGGTGTCAAAAGGAGCTATGGTGGTGGCTAGGGGCACGAAGACCGGTACTTTGTACACTACCTTAGGGTGTACAAGCATGATTGCTACAACCGCAAATGATGAGACTAAGCTATGGCATACTCGGCTTGGTCACATGAGTGAGAAAGGGATGAAATTGCTAGCTTCAAAGGGTAAGTTGTCGGGGTTGAAATCAATCGACATGAAATTTTGTGAGACATGTGTTTTTGGGAAACAAAAGAAGGTGTCTTTCACAAAAACCAAACGGTCCTTGAAGAAGGAGAAGCTAGAACTTGTGCACACGGATGTTTGGGGCCCATACCCCATCAAGTCCCTTGGTGGTTCTCACTATTTTGTCACTTTCATTGATGATTCAACCCGGAAAGTATGGGTATATTTCATGAAGCACAAGTCGGAAGTGAATGAGAAGTTCAAGACTTGGAAGGTGGAGGTTGAAAATGTTTCGGGCAAGAAGATTAAGGCAATCAAGTCCGACAATGGAGGAGAGTATGAGTTGGAAGCTTACAAAAACATTTGTAAGGAGCATGGCATTGTTTTGGAGAGGACCATTCCCGGTAAACCTCGCCAAAACGGGGTAGCGGAACGGATGAATAAGACCTTACTTGAAAGGGCGAGGTGTATGAGGTTGTTTGCGGGCCTTCCAAAATGTTTTTGGGCGGATGCCGTTATTACCGCGGCTTACTTGATAAACCGTGGACCTTCGGTACCTTTGGAATTCAAGATACCGGAGGAGGAGTGGAGTGGTAAGGAGGTGTCCTACACTCACTTGAAGACCTTTGGTTGTGTGGCCTATTTGCAATCCGAAAAGAGAGACAAGCTAGACCCAAAAGCCATCAATTGTTACTTCATCGGGTATGGATGTGAGAAATATGGTTATAGATTGTGGGATCCTAAGAATCGAAAGATTGTTAGGCATTGTGACATCACTTTTGATGAGAGCTCTTTGTACAAAGAGAACTTTGGTGGGAAATCCGTTGAGAAAGAATCAATTGAAGATGAGCGGGAATTTGTTGAGCTAGATGGTAAGGTTAGAAGTGATAAGGAAGTTGAACAGGTAGAAGTTGAGGTGCAAATTCAACAAGCATCTCCTCAACATGGTGCTCATGTTCCGGTGGATTCGGATTCAATTGATTCGGATGATGATGATCACTTGGAAACGGATGAGCGAGTAGTTATGGGTGAGCCCGTTGTGGTTCATGGAGAGCCATCTACACCACCAACGGTGAGGAGATCATCAAGAACAATTAAGCCACCACACCGATATTCTCCATCCTTGCATTATTTGTTGTTGACGGATTCCGGTGAGCCGGAATGTTATAAAGAGGCAATGGGCATGGGTGACTCGTTGAAGTGGGAGCAAGCAATGGAAGATGAGATGTCTTCATTGGAGAAAAACAACACTTGGGTGCTGGTTGAGTTGCCTAAGGGCAAGAGAGCACTTTTGTGCAAGTGGATCTTTCGAAAGAAAGAAGAACCGGATGGTACAATTCGGTACAAGGCAAGACTTGTGGTGAAAGGTTTTTCACAAAAGGAGGGCATTGATTATCATGAGATCTTTGCTTCGGTTGTGAAGCTAACCACTATAAGGATCTTGTTGGCTATAGTGGTTTCGGAGGACTTATTTCTTGAGCAAATGGATGTAAAAACCGCGTTTTTACACGGTGATTTGGAGGAGGAAATCTACATGAAGCAACCGGAAGGGTTTCAAGTTCCGGGTCAAGAGAACTTGGTGTGCAAGCTTAAACGGAGTCTATATGGGTTGAAACAAGCTCCTAGACAATGGTACAAGAAGTTTGACAATTTCATGCTAGGCAATGGTTTCGTGAGAGCGGAAGGTGACCATTGTTGCTACTTTCAAAGGTATGACAATGGCTATATCTACTTGCTTTTGTATGTTGATGATATGTTGATTGCGGGAACTAGTATGGAAATTGTCAATGACTTGAAAAAGAAGTTGTCAAGAAGATTTGAGATGAAAGACTTGGGTGAGGCCAAGCAAATACTTGGCATGAGAATTTCTAGGGATAGCTCAACGGGTGTGTTGAAGTTATCTCAAGAGGAGTATGTCAAGAAGGTGCTTAAAAGATTTAACATGATTGATGCAAAGCCTCGAAGCTCACCTCTTTCAAGTGAGCTCAAGTTGACTAAGGAGGATTGCCCAAAGACAAGGGAAGAGAAGGACAAAATGGTCATTGTTCCTTATGCTTCGGCCGTTGGTAGCATGATGTATGCTATGATTTGCACGAGGCCCGACATTGCTCACGCAGTGGGAGTTGTGAGTAGGTTCATGTCAAATCCGGGTGAGAGACATTGGGAAGCCGTGAAGTGGCTATTGAGGTATTTGTTGGGTACTTCAAGTATGGCTCTTTGCTTTAGGAGAAATGGAGTTGTTTTGGAAGGTTTTGTTGATGCCGATTTTGGAGGATGTTATGATTCAAGCAAAAGCACTTCGGGGTATGTGTATACTATTGGTGGTACGGCCATTAGTTGGATGAGCAAGCTCCAAAAGTGTGTCTCTATGTCTACGACGGAAGCCGAGTATGTGGCTATGTCGGAAGCGGGAAAGGAGATGGAATGGTTGAAGGGTTTCCTTGAAGAAATGGGCATGAAACAAGATGTTTGTGCGTTGTATAGTGATAGCAAAAGTGCGGTTCAATTGGCTAAGAATCCTATGTTTCATTATCGCACTAAACACATCAAGAGGCGTTATCACTATACTAGGAGTTTGGTGAAGGATGGCACGATGTGTTTGAGGAAGATTGCCTGTTCAAAGAATCCGGCGGATATGCTCACTAAAGCTGTTTCTAGTGACAAATTGAGGTTGTGTAGGACCTCAATTGGACTCCATCATTAATTTGAAGGAGTGTTGTGCTATGGTGAAATTGTTTTGATGAATGTATTAAGTGTTCTTGAGGAAGGAGTGTGTATGTGGTAGTCTATGGTGCATGTTTGATCCTATCTCCAAGTGGGAGATTGTTAGGATTAGTGTGGAGATAGATAAATACATGGAGACATAAGGAGATTGCATAGAAGCTGCCTTATTGTTAAGGTTCGACCAAACTTGTGAAAAGTTCGGTCGAACCCGGTTTTAAGTCAGTAGGTGCACCAGTTTACATTTCTAGAGGAGGAGTGACCAAACCCAAGGAGGTTCGACCGAACCACCCAAGGTTCGACCGAACTCTGGGTAGGTTCGGCCGAACCTCCCTGCTCCCTATTTCGTCGCTTCGTTTTCGGCTTGTGCGATTTGCTTTAATCTTAGTCGTTGGATTGTATTTTCTACCTAGACTATATATACCTTTTCTAAGCCTCTTTGTTGATTATTCACAAACATTTAAACACATAGAGAGGTTTTGAGAGGGTTTGTGAGGAGCATTTGAATTCTATACAATTCATGCTTGTAATTCTTGAGTTCATTCATCATCAATATTACTCCATAGTGCAAGGGTGGGTTTTTTCTCCCGGTTCTCGGGTTTTCCCACGGTAACATTGTCTTCCTTTTACTTGCTTTAATTCCTTCAAAGTTGTTCTTGATTGTTATGCTTGTTTGTTCATTGCTATTGTGGGTTGATTGCAAGTTAGTTGAACACTTTAATCCTTACACATACTCTTGTAAAGATTATGCAGCATTTTAGCCACAACTACAGCCTCAACCATATTTCTTCGACTACGACCATCGTCATCAACCTCCTCCCGTCCCTCAGAAACATTTATGAAAGAATAAGGCCCATACATGAGCGCTGGAAGATATTGTCTCTCATAGCACTTACTCCGGACACTAGAAGCATCCAAAATTTGCTTAAGATAAAATTCTGCATTAGGAAATGAACTAATTGCAGGGTGCATCCTGTATTGCACATTTAGCAGGTGTTTTGGCCAACCCAGCAAACTTAGTCTCTGAAATAAGCTTCGTCCAAAATCAGCATTCTTAGATAGCTGCAAAAAAAAATCATATAAATTATAATTGGTGACTGAAAGTCAAGTGAAAAGGAAAAACCGAAAAACTATAGTAATTTGACCTTTAACATACCTCACTTTTAACCAAAGCAGGCAATTGGTACTCATCCCCAAAAAGAACAGCATGCCTTAGACCAGGCAGTTGCAAGGGTATCGCCGACTCACATTCCTTCAACTGCGCAGCTTCATCTATGACCAAAAGACTTAGTGGCTCCATTGGTGTAGTATAGAGCTTATAAGAGCTGGAAGCAGTGCAAAAAATTAATGATGCCATCTTGAAACAGAGTTCTATTGTGGATTCTTTACTCATGATATTCGGAAAGAGAGCACCAAGAGATTGCTGCAGAGTTCTAAGGATGGAAATGCACTCTCTCCTATGTGCTTCAAGCAACGGCATGTTGTTAAGGCCAGCCCCATCCACCAGAGAATCTTCATCTTCCCTTGAAGAAAAAAGTTCCAATAGTTCTTCGGAACGCAATTCACTTTGAAACAGCAATTTTTCAAAGGATTTAAGCAGATTAATGAGATGGTTCATGAACTTAAAATTATTATCTCCAATGCAACTAGTTGAGATATGAGTGCATAAAAGAAAAATGCAACGCCTGACAGGTTGTGCAGCAGCCTTAAACCGATTTCTAACAAAAGTAAGAAATGGTTCAATCTGTGGTGCAGTAACACTTTCATCAATGCTTTGCTCCTTCGCTTTAATCATCTCATTTTCAGTGAAAACATTATACTGAGAAACACAATCCTCAAGAAAATTTGACAAGGATGGGAAGCAACTCCTCCATCCAGTTAAAGGCGCAAAACACTCTGTTAGCCTTTTGACGCGATAGTCAAGATATATATCTTCTATGTTTGAACCTACCCTTAACCGATCTTTGTTTCCAAACAGAAGAATGTCTCCCAAAGAGTCGAATGTTCCTACTGAATCCGTTTCAGAAGAATTCATAATAAGTTCTAAGAGGCGACTGGCTACTTCTGTGATGGCAACATTTGTTGGAGCACATATTAAAGTCCTAACATTTAACCTCCTCAGGAAATATAGTAGTGTACCGAGGGTTTTTGTTTTGCCTGTCCCTGGCGGGCCCCAGACAAGTTGAACCTGAGACGTGTGCTCGCATTGTGTTGCTTGCAGTGAAGTTACAACAGCCTCATATTGAGATGTATTCAGACTGGAAGAAATCTCCATACAAAGATCTTCAGACAAGATGCTACAATTACTGGATTCACACGAATTATGATCCTGCAATTACAATTTTTTTCAGTTTAAAGGCTCATTCTTGGAAACAGATATATTCAGAAGCAGCTAGTCATAAAGGTCATGTTAGCCTGTTTGTTAATCATCTAAAACCTGCATGTTAGATGATGTAGTTGTACACTAAAGGCACTTGATAAGCTAGAAATAACACAAAGGAATGAACTAAATTATTATCTTCTGCTGTTAATATCTTAACAAATATTATATGCTACCCGCACTTGGCTCCCTAGTTTTCAAGATATAGTAGTAATAGTACTCTAATGAAAACCTTCAACTCATAAGGGTAGCAAACAGATTCAAACCATGTCAATTATTTTAACACTTACCACAATACTTCTTTGTAAAGCTCCCTGGATGATTCTCACATTTTAAAACATGTGAAGGGCATTCCATATTCTTTTGTGTGTAGTACTATTCATCAAGAATACCAAAAAAAGAGAGCTGCAGCTGTCATCTATCTCCTTTATGTCCCTTGATGATAAAACTTTAAAAGAGGTGGTTGATGAACCATCATCATCTATCTCGTCCTCAGAGTTATTTTTGGAAATATTTGTGACTGATGCCAGAACCCATGTTTGTGCCAGCACTTGCAGATCATATATACTTTCAGGCCGAGATTTTGCAAGAACAAAAATATCACCGGGCAATGTTTTGTATGGCTCCTTGCCTCGGTCATTGTACCTGTTTCTCCATTCATCTATTTGCACACTATAAAGTAATCGATCACGCTTAATTTTATCATAGGACACTATTTCAGCATATGGTGCCCTTGAAATGATCTCCAAACTTGAGCGAAGATCAACCCGTGTCTCTTCTAATAGAGGTTGAACAAAAGAGCTGAAATACTCCATTACTGTTTCAAATGAATCTGGAATCTGCATGAACTGAAAAAAAATTGGAGTTCTGAGAAATTAGTTTAAAAATGACCCAACATTGGAAAGCTGGAAGCACGACACATTTTGCAAGTTATTCCACATTCAAGGTACTCCCTCTGTCACTTTTTTATCTTTTAATTTGGAATCTTTAACTTACTAATGCAATCAAGAAAAGAGAATAGCAAAAAAAAAAAAAAAAAAAAAAAAAAAAAAAGCTAAGCAAAATCAACAAGCCATATGCGAATTATAAAATTTGATCCCAATAGCAAAATACTCACTTAAGTTAGCATTTAACTATTTTTACAGCCTCTTACTCTGAGAAGTCTATGTCATCATACATATGGAATAACAGCATTTATAAATGTTATAGACAAATAATCCAATATCAATCACTCCGTACGTGAGACCTTACAATGGAATTAAGTGGTATTTGCACTAATAAAGCCAGGTTCTGACGCTGATCATCTTGAACTGAACCCGGAAATGATATGGAATGTTCTTTAAAAGAATCTGCACAAGAGATTGTCTGCCAAAGTTGAACACGAAAACTTCCCACCTGGTCAGGGACAATTCCGATTCCCCTAAATGGATTAATGCTTGGTTTGTGGCTCCCTAAAGTGATATTAAGTAGTCATTGTAACCAAAAGGCACCGTTGCCCAAAAACTAATACATACCATAGATGTTATACTTTTGATAAATGCAACTTTAGTTTTCCCATACAAGAATATAATTGGATTTTCTTCTTGAAAATTCTACTTACTGTTGTCATATGAACACTTTTATATACTCCCCAAATGTACAAGCAAACCAAATGATCAACCACCAAAGTAACTGTACGTACTCCATAATAAATAAATAAATAAATATTTAAGAGCTATCAAATGCATTTACAAATACTTAGTAGTATTGATTCATTTGTTTTTAAGGCATGAGATTATCAATGAAATGTGGTTCAAGTACAATCTTGAATTGATCGTCGAATTTGCAACTGAATGTTTAATATCAAGTGCTCGTACATACTCAGGAGTAAAAAGTAACATTCCCCTTGGTGACTAAAAACACATCAGAAGCGCCAGAGTACCCATATCTATACATTCAATTAGCTGACATTTGTGAATGCATAGTTGCATACGTACCAGTGATAAGTTTAACTATTTACTCCGTAAATCCGTAATAAAAAATCATAAAAAGTTTATCATTTAAAAATATATGGGAGCTAAAAAATAGGATAGTATAATGTTTTTTAAAAAAAATGTCAGGGAAAATTCATAATTATTTGTAATTGACTACTGTACAAATCTATCTGGTGGCCTGGTGGGGTTTCCAACCTCCCTTTAATCCCTTTCCCTTCCCCTTTTCCCATTTGAGGTTGGTTCAGACTCAAGGGTTCAAATGTGCGCAACCTTATCCTAGATTCATAAGCCTCTCTAACCCTAACTCATAAATTTACCAATGGTAGAAAATAACTCCAATATTAAATAAAAAACGCAAACCCAAACCCAAAATGATAAATTCAGATTCAGAATACAGTCTACTCTATTAGTCAATCACTCAATCAATGTTAAACACAGATTAATAAACTAATCACTCAAGCATAACCATCATTTATCAAATTTCCCAACAAAATTACTACTGCCCATTTTCCAATACCCATCATCTCAAAACAAACTCATCCAGATAACATTATAATAGTAATCAAATTTTTAAAATAAAAATCATATTAACAATCAACCCATTTACATCAAACTATCAAAGCACATCGTATTAAATACAGCAAAATTCTTGGACCATATAAATATAGTTACATTAAACAAAAGAAGAAAAAACCATGAAAATAAATAAAAATTTACCTTTTCACTGTAAAAATGATCATTGAAAATGTCATCAATAGACCATGAAAAAACCATGTCAAGAAAATCAGCGTTACTCGCAATTCTCTCATTTACATCATCAGGTGATAAACCTGAACCCTCCATCATCATCAACAACCAACTGCAATAAAATCATCAAATGAAACTATATATTATAAAAAAATATATGTATATATATATATACAAACCCATTTCAATAAATAGAACAAAAAACAAAAAAGATTTCTTAACCATGAAGGAAATGAAAAGATGTAGTACAAACCACTGTAAAAAAGAAAATAAAAAAAGTTGTACACGAAGAAGAAAAGAAAACCCAATAGAGTAAGAAAATGTACTGAAAATTATATTTATAGTCTGAAATAGGAGAATTCGAAAGGACATTAAACAGGATTAAACATTTAATTAATTTTTAAAAAGGAGATGAATTTTAAAGGATTGGTTGCTTTTTCTTGGGACATTGTCACATTGACTTGGCGTTGATTCTGCATTGACGTTGTTCATTAAAATGATGGTTAGGATAAAATATATTTAATATTAATTATCTAATGAGCTTATACTTTTAGAGTGGAATCACAACAATATTGTTGTTAAAGTCAAGTTTCAGAATTTTAGTTTTATACCTATTTGATCCAGCCGTTTTCTAACAAGTAAAATGAAAAGGCAAAAAAATAAAAAATAAAAATTGAAAAATCATATGTAAATTTGGAGAAAAAAAAATTTCGGAATTTTAGTTTTATACCTACTTGATCCCAACCATTTTCTAGCAAGTAAAATGAAAAGGCAAAAAAAATAAAAAATAAAGATTGATACATCATATGTAAATTTGGAGGAAAATTTTTTAATAAGAGATTAACACATAAGACATTTTAAAAATTGAGAACATTAGCATGTTTTGTTTTAATAAAAGTTAATAAATTAATACTCCAATATTTTATAAAAAAAAAATTATAAACGAACCGTCAGTATAAACCAGTAGAAATAAGAATAAGTTGTGTAAAATGTTTTTGATCAGTCGTGTACCCCTACTAGACTTGTAGACTAGCAGTTGACGAGTAACGCTATGTTTATTGTTAAAATACCCACGTCCATTTTCCCGCTTCTTTTCTTCTACGGAGTACCGATTAATTGTTGAGCACGCTTTTCCTTTCAGTTTTGTGGCTAGGCCCGATTCACGGTGTGGTTCACCCCGTTGCGTGTTATGTTCAACTTTTTTTAAAGGTCTATATAGACTTTGTTGTTGTCGTTGATCTAGAGAGGGTTCAAAACTTGTTTAAGTTAAACCATGTCTTACTTACGCGTTTAGGCCAAGTTTGAATTTATTTAATTTGTGTTTTTGTGTTGTTTTGAGTCATGTCTTGTTGTGTTTCTTTGAATATAAATGGTCCACGATCTAACATATAAAGTACATTAGTAGCTTATTGTGTTTCTTTTTTTTTCATTTCATGTTAGTGTTCCATATTCAACTTTTTTAATAGTTCGGACTAACAACAAGTTGGACTCTTACCAAATACGGAGTACAACATGAACATTTGTACAAGGCCTCGGTTTGTTTTTTTCCCATCTTATGTTCAAATGGTTAAGCCTAATTAGCAAACAAATTTTTGTTAACTGAATCATCTTATCCTTGACAAATGGCAATTAAGAATAGGGATGTCAATGGGGCGGGGCGGATATTGGCCTTCCCATCCCAATCCCCATCCCCCCGACGGGTCTAAAATTCATCCTCATCCCCGCCTCAGCGAGTACAATTCCAAAACCATCCCCGCCCCAACCCCCCACTTGGATATCCACCCCCACCTAAGACCCGCCTCCCAAATACACAATCCTTCATAATTAATAGAGATTGCAAAAAGAAAAAAATCATTGTTAATATTACACATTTTTTTGTTTATAATATAAATGTATTACAATTTACAAAGTAGTATATTTACTATTTTATTTTATATAATTTTTTTTTATAAAATACTTCCTCCGTTTTTTATTATTTGTAACAATTACTAAAAGTAGGTGTTTCATATTATTTGCAACATTCCCAATCCTTTCTATTTTTAGTAATTTTTTTTAAATGAAATTACAAAAACACCCTTACTTAAAACTTTATAACATCAATTACATAGTTAAACATAATTGATTAAAAACTAATCTAATCCAATTAAACTTATTTTTATCTTTCCAAAATCATCCATCTACCCCCAAGCCACTCCTCCTTCATCATCTCGTCATCTTCCCCATTATCTTTCTCACTCCTCCTTCATCTTCTTCTTCCTCTTCCCTCATAATTTATTTTCTCCATCTTCATCCTCTTCAACATTAACTTTCTCTCTCCTCCTTAAAACACTTTTCATGAATTGAGGGAAGGTGGTTTTGGGTTTCGTGCATGGGTTTCAGAAGCTAGTTTGTGGGTGGTGGGTTAGGTGGCTTAGAGTTCGAACGGTGGGTGTTTTAGAGTGGCGTCGGTGGTGGTTTCGGGTACGAAAGGTGGTTTTGGGTTTTGTGGGTTCCGAATCTGGGTTTGTCCGTTTGTGGGTGGTGGGTTAGGTGGTTTCGGGTTCGAAAGGTGGGTGTTTTAGGGTGGCGTCGTGTTAGGTTTTCAAGTAATTCAACAACTAGAACAACTTTAACAAGTGTGGGAACAAAACCTAAAACATGTATAATTAATATTAAAT